TAAAGTCGTTCCATGTATTTGACATTCATTAACTTTTTATTTCCTTTCGCCTTTTGGGTTGTAACTCACTGATCGATTGATTAAGAGAGAGAGAGAGAGAGAGAGAGAGAGAGAGAGAGAGAGAGAGAGAGAGAGAGAGAGAGAGAACTAGAGAGACAGACAGAGACAGAGGCAGAGACAGAGGAGAGAGAAAGAAAGAAAGAAAGAAAGAGGAGAGAGGAAGAAAGAAAGAAAAAAAGAGAAGCAAACAGAAAGGCAAAGGTGAAAAAGGCAAGAAGTGTATCTAAAATAACAAAAAGGAAAAGGAAAAATTAAAGGGAAAACAAATAAGCGCACAGAGAAACATAAAGCAAGCTGCCTTAAAGAAGTTACAAGGAAAAGAAATAAAGATAAATAAAAAAAAGAAAAAAAAAGAAAAAAAAACACTTGTAATAATAATCACATTAATCATATTAAACAAAAGTTAAAGTTGGATTTAAAACCTCATGGGAAATCAAGCCCTCTTCCTCATGACCGCATTTCTAGCCAGACTGATATGTAATCTGACAGTAATTTCAACATTGGATCACGAATTATATTTACAAGTTGCACCTTGTTCTCAGGATTATTTTTTTATCGTGATAGGAGCTAAGTTTATTTGTTTTTGTCGGTTGTTGCTTTTGTCGTCGTCGCAGTCTTTGTTATTGTTGCTGTTGTTTTATCAATATTGCCGTGTAAGTCAATAGAACTGCAACAATAATGACGAACAAATAGTGGTGGAGATATAAGATATGTGATAGCTATAAAAAAAGTTATTGTCATAATCATATTGATATATGGATAAGAGTGCAAGGTGAAGATAATTGCATTCCTAGTGACAAACATAAATCTTGATAATAACGACATATAAATCAAGCTCATAGAACCCCTGGTAATAATGTCACTATTAATACTAATGCCTAATAATGTGTTAATGAAACAAAAATTGTTGATCGAATACCAAAACACTTACTTTGACTCAGGACTCAGCTCCTTTGATGGGAAGAGTATTATGTCAGTCTATATTTTTTCATTATTTCTTTATTTATTTATTTATTTATTTATCTATTTATTTCCTGTTGCATTCCATCTGTTTCCACACTCCGGTGCAACAGATCCACTGGTACCTTGAGCTGATGAACAAAAGGCTCTCAGGAGATCAAATTTACGTTTCTGAATAGCCTTCTATTTGTTTACATGAGGAGGAAGTCGATTTGAGCCCCCCCCCCCTCCCATTTTTTTCGTTTTATGAAGGTGTTACTAGCTGTTCTAAAAACACATAATCCCGGAAATGAAATCCAAATGCTCTGTCATCAATGAAAGTCACCTTTTTCATGCCTTTCCCACTATACACGCTTTCATTACTCATCGATATTTGCATGCATGACAGTTTATGCCACCACCCCACTGTAGTCATACGAATATCCTTAAAAAAACAACTCCCTATCCTTAGTCCTTGCATGACTCAAATCAGGATAAGTCATCTAAGCTTTTACATGCAGCAGTTATTGCTTTCGGTGCATGACAACTACTCAGGTCATGTCATGATAGCAATCGAGGTCATGCAGATTAGTTCATACATATATCATTCGCCAAAGAAAAGGGTGGAGAGCGTAATAAGATTTTTTTTTTCTTAATGTTTTTATCAGTAATATTATTCAGGCCTTTTATCGATATTTGGAGATGATGAATACATTACAACTTTTAAAAGGAAATTGATGTAGGCATGTATGCATAACCATCTATATTGTGTTTTCTCTCTCTCTCTCTCTCTCTCTCTCTCTCTCTCTCTCTCTCTCTCTCTCTCTCTCTCTCTCTCTCTCTCTCTCTCTCTCTCTATTCTCTCTATCTATCTCACTACCAATTCACCCTTTTTTTTCTCCCTATTAACGCGGATAATTGGACCAGGCATAAAAATGAATAAAAAAAAAT